GGACTGATCCAGACTCCATGAATGTAGTGTCAGTGAGGAGGCTTCAGAAATCTCTGGGGCTTTGGATAGTAGACTAGTGTTCACCATGGCATACAAATGAACTTTGGGAGCCCATTCCACATACAGGGATGCTCTCTCAGCCTGGACACATGGGGAAGGGCCTAGGTCCTGCCCTGAATAAAATGACAGACTCTGGATAGCCCCCCAAGGAGGGCCTTACTCTCCCTTGGGGAATGATGTGGGGATTGGGCTGAGGGTAGGGGTGGGGCTGGTGGAGGGAGAAGGGCGGAGCCGGGATTGACATTTGAAGCATGCATGTTTCTAATTTAAATAAAAAACTAAAAGAAAAGAAAAGTGCTGTTTTGTCATGCGCAGAGCCTCATGGGCCAACCTCTTTAGATGCATCACCCTGCAACCCAAGTGGACATTTAGCCTGTTATTCTCCTGTCTTCAGAGACCCAGAGACAAAAGCAAATTCTCTTTTCCACAGTGTTTCATTGCACAGCGTGTACAGTGACTTCCTCTCATTGGAAGGAATATTTCTAGAAGCCTGTTCATATATCCTGGCCATGGAGAAGAGCTCTGTCTAGAAACTCCGGCCAGCAAAGCTGGTTATGATCTTCTGGAATGGAAGAAGGTTCTCCTCTCAACACAGTTCTTCCCAGTTCTTCCCTCCTTCACTTGTGATCAGTAGATCCAGGGACAGGGTTCTGGCAACAGCTGCTATAGCACATGACTCGTCTCCTCTTCCCTTCCTGTGTTAGTCTAACTACTGAACAGAACACAGCATAGCTACAAGCAGTTCTCACTGCCTGCCTGACTTGGACAGGGCCAGCCGAAGCACGCTGTACATCAGAGAGGTGAAGCTATCCGGTTTAAAGGAAGACATTTATGCTGTTCAGAAAAAGCCAGCTGTCAGCTACCATGCACTTTTCCCCAGGGAGAGCCAAATAACACGAGACAAATTTGTGAAGGTTCTGCTACTTCCCAGAGGATATTATCACCACATATGAAATTACCTGAAATCACCTGCCAATTCTGTCCATAAACTGGGCAGGTCCCAATCTTGACTTCATGGAGATAACCAATAAGAAGGCACCTTTATAACCCTCAGAGAGCTGATGCTGAGAAAGCAGGGTCTAGGTGGCAGGGAAAGATCGCTACTCACAACTTCTGGAGCACCTGCAGGCTCTCCACACCTTTAGTTGACATCAATGCAGTCATGCACACTGTAGCCTCACCCAAAGGCTGAAGGGCCATCAGACCCCTCCCTAGACCCTCCATAAACACAGCGATCAGAAGGGCATCCCACTTCAAGATTCAGAGGAGGCTGAATCCTGACCAGGCCCCTTTCTCTTACATCTTATATAAAATGAAGATGGCTGATAATTAAGCTCATCTCAGCTCTAAGATCCTATGGGTCTAAAAAAAATTGTGTTTATCATGACAAGTCAGGGCAGCCACTACTTACTAGTCTTCCAACTGAGTTTTTTAAAGAAAAAAATTCCTATTATGGATACTACTATCAAAATATCTGACAAACTTCTAGTTCTTTATTTTTATACATCAACCATGAATAAGAAAGAAACAAAAAATTTGATTCCATATTTTAAGAGCAGCAATTATTTTGCTCTGTAAGAAACTACAGGTCAGACAATATATCTGGCATTATGCAGTAAGTCTCTTCAAATGATTAAGAACAAAGTTGTCAATAATTACACATAAATATTGCAGAGAGCTGAACCAAAGCAAACCAAACAAATCAGCTAGCCCACTGCAAATGTGCCCTCAAATTCTTATGGGAGTCAAAAATTCCAGAAAAATAACAGAAGAGATAGAAACACAAGTTTCTTATTATCACACTTCATATGTTATAAAACGTAACATCTAACTTATTTTTGGCAAATGATTAGGATTGCAACACTTTGGCTTCCACAAACTCATTTGATTGTCAAGTGCATCTCAAATGGAGCATGTCATGTGAACTTCAGGCATGCAGGAACTGTGTTGTCTTAGACACAGTGAAATTTCAACAAGTCAGCATGGATCACACCACCGGATTAACAGGCCCAGGTGTTTAATGGTTGGGAGGAGGGATGTAGTGAGTGGTGGGGAATTTCAGCAATGCAGATAATTGAAACCAGATAAAGCTTTTTTTTAAAAGGAGATCTATTTATTTGTATGAGTGTTTTGCCTGCCTGCCTGCATGCATGTAAGTAAGAACACCATGCACATGGCTGGTGCCTGCAAAGGTCAGAGGGTATCACATCCCTGGATCTAGAGTTAGAGATGGTGGGAGGTACCATGTGGCTTCTGGGAACTGAACCCAAATTCTCTGCAAGAGCTACATTCTTAAAAGCTGAACCATTTCTCTAGCCTCAGATAAAGCCCTTGAATAATGAAAACACAAAATCATAGAGATGGCTCCTTTACTTCCCCAAAGGTACCTCGTATGTACAGTCACACATTATTCTCTGGTGCCTGTGTGGCTCTTCTTCTGCATGTATGTTGTATAAATATGTGTGTATATGGACATGTATGTGTGCGCATGTGTATACATGTACATGTGGAGGGCAAACATTGATGCTGGTGTCTTCCTCAGCTGTGTTCCATCTTAGGTTTTGAGACACTGCCATTGAGTCTGGAACTCACTGATTTGTTGAGGTTGGCAGACATCAAGCTCCAGCGATCTACCTTCTCTGCTCCCACAGAACTGGGGTTTATACAGGGCTTTTATGTAGGACCAGGAGATCCAAACTCAGGTTCTCATGCCTGTGGATCAGGCACTTCACTCACTGAGCTGTCTCTCCAGCTCCATTAGAGAAGAGGAAAAACAGATTCACAGCTCTCTGAAACTCTTTATCTTTGAAAATGCATTTTGTGATGCTCATGGTTCTCACTGTCCCCTCTAGCTCTTTCCATCCTTTCCCATCCCCAAATCCAACTCAAGTGTGTTCTTATGCTGTTGTCTTCCCATCCCTTCTTCCAATGGGTACTGGTGGGGAGTGTTCACAGGAGACTGCAATCCTGGGAAGATCCAAGATTACTACCTAGTGAAAGCTCTGCAGGCTGGGACCTAGTTAAGCTGTGATCCTATTTCTGCCCAGAAACAGAGATGTTAAATCCACACCGTTTCACACTACTAGTTTGGGGAAGTTGATACATGGCAGTAGGTAACCAATACAGTAGTTAACCTAATGATTGAGACAAATCTAGTGCTATTTCCGCAACAACAATAATAGGTAATACATGCTTAGAACTTGAAAATCCCAGGCAGCACTCTTAATATTTTGCATAATTCCTCACAAAATCCTTGAAGATTTCCAATTTGTTGACGGGAAAACTGAGGTCAGAGACTCAATGATTTGTTCAAGTTCACACAACCAAACGTAAATGACAAAACATATTTGAGCCAGAGCCCACAGTACTGTGTGACTAGAAGCTCACATGTAGGCTGGGAATCAGAAAGGTGCCACATACAGTGTGAGCAGAGTCTCAAGGACAGAAAAGAGGTTGTAAGTCACCAAGGCTGGCATCACAGGGAAAGCTGCATTTTGAATAAAATGTCTTACCTAGGGAAATAAAACCACAACTGAGTACAGTAGGAATTCAATGAATAGATTATAATCTCCAATTTATTGAGTTCCCACTTAGACATAAAAACACATTTCCTTATATCCAAGAGAAGAAAATTAAAATCAATTGGTATTAAAAACAGGGAGACTCTGCTTTTACTCTTTCCAAGTGCTGGTTTGAGCACTGAATGTAGCAAGCTGGCAGGAAAGGAGGCAAATTCCTAGTGGGATCCAAGACCCCGCTGGAGATATTTCCTCACATGGAGAGAAAGAATTCATGGACGGGGCTGCTGCGAAGGGCTATCGCCTCCTCTTGCTTAGCTGTCTCATCCATGACACTCCAGGCTCTTAGCTCAGAAACATGCGATATTGCCTGGGGTGTCCTCAAGATGCAAAAAAGCGGTTTTGTACACATGCGTGCCAAATGAAGACATAAAATATCTTGTAAATTGTACCCACTCCATGTGTCATTTCATGATACGTGAGTTAAAGCACACTTTTAAGGCTCTTAAAGAGTCCCCTACCTTTCGGGGTCACTTTAACTTGGACTCTGTGACTTCAATGCCTCACCATGTGTCCACAGATGTAGGTCAGAAGCAGTTTTATGAGGCTGTGCGTGCAACTCAGTGCTTGCCTATCAGGCACGAGGCCCTGAATCCACCCCCAGCATCATAACCACAAACATAAAGACAGACAAATAAAAAATTTGTGAATGAAAGCATGCATCTGGGTCTCAAAAGGGCCAGAAAACTACGGGAACAGAAAAGAATTGAAACTTATAATCACTTAGCATGTATTTACCTGTGGATGATGATGACAAGGATACATCCTTTTCCTTCTTAAGAAACAGGAAAATTTCTTATTTCAATTTTTGGGTGGTTTATGTACTTTTACTTAGTTTTACGGTGTTCCGCCTGCATGTACATCAGTGAACCATGTGCATGCTGTGCCCGTGGGGGCCAGAGAAGGCGTAGGATGCCTGGAGCTGTACTTACAGGAGGCTGAGAACCACCATGGGGCTGGGACTCACACTTGGCTCATCTGGAAGAGCAGTCAATGTTCATGACCACTGAGCCATCTCTCCAGTCCACTGGTATTGTCCAAATACTCTTTCAATAAAGACAGAGTCCGTTCCATGCCAGTGTCAGTAACCATTCTTAAACATGGTTTCATAAAAGAGAGCAACTCTAGAACTCCAGAGAACCCTAGATTCAAAGACATTCATTTGGAGAAATCTCTATCTCTCCCACCATTATTCATGGAACATTATGGGAATTTCTTATGCACAGGTCTTTGGAAATAAAGATACAGAGAAAGGCAGCCACCATGCACTCCTCACTTTGCTCTCCAAGAAGAAAAGGAAACAGGAGGGTTTTTGCAAGTGCACAATCAGCTACCCGTGGTCATCTTCTAAGGCATACTCACAGGCAGCTCAGGGACATGCTTCATGAGCCGAAGAGCAATATAGCTGCCTATGGAGTGGCCAATGAGTATCAGCTTCACATCCTTTGGCACATGAGCTCTGAGAAAGGCTAGCTTGTGTTCTATTTGACCATTCAGACCGTAGACATCCTCAATTTCCTGAGCATTTGTCTCTAAAAGCGAAAGTATGAGCAAACTTCAATAAGTAAACAAGCTTATTCAAGTAGAAAAAGTATCTACAAAAAAAAGCCAGACTTAAAGCAGTTACTTAGAGTTAAGTCTTACCATTTGCCCTAAGTCTGAAACACACTAGCCACAGTATTAGACACTTAAATTACAGAAATCCACCCTTACCACAGAAGTTGATGGCAGCATTATCTGAAACATCACAACTCATAGATAGTATGGGGAGACTAGCAGATGTAGACCTATGAAGTAGGGGAGCTGAGGTTCAGATGCAGGTCTGTTCTCAAAGCCCACAGAAGTTCAACTATTCCATGAACTCCTGTTAGTTCAGGCCAGTTGTTCTCAAGCTTGATCACGTAACAAATACCTGGGAAGGTCTGCTGAAAGATAGCTAGGCCCTGACCCCAGAGTGTCTGACATAGTAAGTCTGGGTAGAGGTCCAAGAGTTTTCCTCTCCAAGTTTCCAGGAGATGAAAACCCACTGAGTCTAGGATTATACACTGGGAACCACCGTGTTTAGCTGACTCATATCCAGTGAACTAAGAAAACATACAATACTGCTTGACCATGTTGAATAATGTGTGCATATTTAAAGAACTTAAAGACTTAAGTAGAAACCTCAATGTTAACTAATACAACCATGACCTAAAATAGGCTTTCCTGTCCCAACTCTTTCTAGCCTCTACAAGACCTAATTAAAATCTACACTTGTTTAAGCTCACCACCCAGATATGCAAACATGGATGTACTCACTTATATGTGAACGTTAGCTGTTAAGTAAAGGAAAATCATGCTACAATCCACAGACCCATAGAGGTTAAGTAACAACGAGGGCTCTGAGGGTGGGGGGACACATGCATGGATCTCCCTGAGAAGGGGAAATAGAATAGATCCAGCAGATGGAATAGGGGCAGGTGAGGATGAGAACAGGAAGGATTAGGTCGGGTACGGGGGATGGAAGGAAATAATATGGGAGAGATGACTGGAGCTGGAGGGTATTCGGGACAATATAGAAACCTAGTGCAGTGGAAACTCCCTGGAATCTATGATGGTGCCCCTAGCAAGGGCTCCTGGTAATGGAGGATCTGGAGCCTAAACCATCTATCTTCTGTAGCCATTCAAGGCTTCCATTGGTGGCACTGGGACAGCAACCCATTCACAAAACCTTCATCCTATATGTGTCCTGTCTGCAAGGTGTGTTGGGGCAATGGTGTCTCAGAACTTGTGGAACTGGCCCACCAGTGACTGGACTGATTTAATTTGAGGCCCATGGCAAGAGGAGGAGTCCATGTCTGATAGTGTCTGAATGACCAGGAGCCAGAGGGTGAATAGCCCAGAACCCTTGGGTAGAACTGTACAGGGCTGGCAGAAAAAAAAAATCAATGAAATGATCCCTAATGACATGCTAATAGACCAGTGCCAAGTCCAGTCGTCACCACAGAGGCTGCTTCTGGCAGCTGTTCAGAGTGGATGCAGAGATCCACAGTCCAACATTAGGTGGAGAGAGCGCCCAGGTTGGAGGACTCCATCAGTTCCTTCCCCTTGTAGCTCAAGGAACCTTGCAGAAGAGAAGGAGGAACTTTGGGACTCAGAAGGTAGACATCTCTATTTAATTCTCCTGCAGTACTATATATCATTGCCTAGTTGATCATAAATCCCAGGGATGATAAACCACCCTTTGATCCCTCTACCAGAGTCTGTTGGCCCTCTAGGCTAAGGCCTCTAGATGGCACTGTTCTCGTTAGGTAGCAAAGAGCTCTGTCTGACTGCTAAGTTATTAACACATTAGTAAGTCTAGAAGCAATCCAAACAATAAGCACTAAGGTAAAGTTTCAAATAAGCAAGCATCAAGTTAAAACACAAATTAAACACATTTCCTAGAAATGCTGACTCACAACACACACCTTTCCCTGGTTTGGGGCACTAGTGTATAGTAGGGAAAAATCCACAGCTTAAGCTTTTCAAGGGTTAAGGATCAGCAGCACAAACACTGCTGGCAACTGTTAGAATACAGATTCTCAGGTGGCATCTCACATCTACCCTGCCGGTGACTCAGGGTTGGCCACCTATTGTAGTAAGAGGCAAACTATCTCCAAAATTAAACAAACGTGGCGCCTGAGGTCTAAAACCACAAACAGAGGTGATCACTTGTGAAATATGAATGCTAACTGGCTTTCTAGAAACATGAAGACAACTTTACTATCAATCAAAACAAGTTAAAAAGGACATACCAACTGGTGATGCAAGAATCTTATCTTTGGGAGCCATAGCAAACCCAGCGTGAGAGGTCATCCAGACTGGGAAGCGGCCTTTCGTCAAAGAATACAAGGTCTTTGCAAATGGCAAATAAAAGGGAGAGAAGCCTGGGTTACCTAAGGAAAGAAAGACTTTGGATTAGAAAGACAGCACACCCATGCAAAGTGATGGACAGACCGAAAATGGTGGCGCTGGGTTTTCTCACAGCATTCTCTACAAATCCAGTAACATGTAGGTGTCATAAGAAAGATCTTCAAGCCACAAACCAAAGTATAGAAGAATCTTTTTAAATCACCCATATATGACTTCCCACTGCTACCAAAATAAAACCCGAAACCACTAATACGTCTCTGTGGCATTTCAAGATTTGACAACAACAGTTACTAGGCTGTACAAAAACCAAAACTCAAACAAAACAATAATAACAACAAACAAACAAAAAAAAAAACAGGCCAGTTAATCAATGTTAGAATCTTAGGAAACTTAGTGTTATCTTGTCATCTCAAGTATTTGTTGTATGTGTGTAAAATCAGTCATTGATGGACATATGCACTACAAATGATTTTCCTTATGTGTATACAGAAGGCATTTTTGACATGGATTTGGTAGAGAGAAACAGAATAATCAGTGCATCTACAGGGGAAGACAATGAAGTTGGGGTTTCAGCTTACAGTCATCTGTATAAATTCTTCATGGTATCCTTTCTGCAGACATCTACCTTTCCCCAATACCTATTCTCCAGTTAATTTATTTATTTCTTCATGCTGTAAGGTTTTTCTCTAGCTGTCCATGGTCTGTGGCACTGGTATAAAAATCACAATTGTCATCCACACCCAGTGTCCACATCTTACAGATCCCTAGGCAGGTAGCACAGTAAAGTGTCTGAGAATGTAGGCTTCGTGGACTGGACCCCTGGCTTTCCCTATGAACTGTGAGCTTTGCCAAGTCATTAATTCTCTCTGTGGTTTGACTGCTCATCAATGAAATGGGATAATGCACAAATATACATGACGCTAAGTGAATTTATAGACGTATGGCATATTTTCAACACTACTTGAAACACAGTAATGGGTATATAGATGTTAACTATTCCACGTGCACAGTCTTGTCTATCCTGGTACTCTGTAATGGTTTATCATCCATACTGTTATCTTGCTTCTGCAGCATTCTGACCAAAGGCTTTAAGCTCTAAGCCATCGTATGGTGGTGCTAACTGACAACTTTACTGAATGACAGGAAAACTTTCTCAAGGGCAGTGATGTGCTCTTGAAGAAGAGGGAAAGGAGATGGGGATAGCAACAGGAAGTGGGAACCCAGAGTGCCTGTGGATGACACTTCCTCTTCCTTACAAATGCAAATATGCAGAATGTGAATGTTGCTAAGCATTGAACACAAAACAGCAGACACACTCAACTTCTTTCCATTGAACAGGCAGGTACATAAAACCATCAATTATGGAACATATTCTCCTGCACTGATCTCAAGTGTCATCTGATTCAACACTAACTTTCTACAACTTGTTATTTTTTAATCAAATAACTCAATTTATTTATTTTAACCTTTTCTCCTTTGCTAAAAGATCCCATATTACACACTTATGAATATATACACACACACACACAGAGCAAGGGAGGCAGAAAGAGAGGGGGGGGAGGCAGGTGTGCATGCTCATGTTTTAATAACTGGTAGGGTAGATCTGTAAATCCTTTCTCTTTACTTAAAACTTTCTAAAGTGATCTCAAACTAGTTTAGTTTCACTTCTAAAAATTTCCTTGGGATTCTGATTGAAATTATAATTAATTTACATATTACTCTAGAAAGATCTGAGATTTCATTGACTATAGCTGTAGTGTTTTGAAAGAAAATGACTTCCAAAGAGAAGGGCATTATTAGGAGGTGTGGCTTTGCTGGAGTAGGTGTGGCTCTGTAGAAGGAATTATGTCCCTGTGGGCGTGGGCCTTGGGGTCTCCTTTGCTCAAGCTATGCTCAGTGTAACAGAGTTCAGTTCCTGGTGCCTGCAGATAAAATGCAGCACTCTCGGCTGCTTCTCCAGCACCATGTCTGCCTGCACGCCACAATCAGTTCTAATTAAATGTTCCCTTTATAAGAGTTGCTGTGGTCATGGTGTCTCTTCACAACAGCAGAAAGCCTGAAACAATAGCCTTCCGGGAGTGTTTTCTATCCCACAGTCACATTTTCATGTCACTCAACATGTGGAAATACACTAGGAAACCCTCAGCCCACACTACGCTCTTTCTTCCGTTTCTTTCCAGCTGTCAGCGCCTTACACATTTTAACTCACTTAGTCTTCACTTGATGTAGCAATGAGAACAAGCAGGATGTGTAACTTTTACAGTTATTTGGGAAGAGGGAATCGCAACTGAGAAAATGTTCCCACCAGACTGGCCTGTGGACAAACCTGTGATACATTTTGATTGGTAATTGGGACCAGCTCACTGAGGGTGGTGCCATTCCCGGGTGGGTGGTTCTGGGTGCTATAAGAAAGCAGTCAGACCAAGCCAAGGGGGTCAAGCAAGTAAGCAGCACTCTTCCATGGCCTCTGCATCAGTTCCTGCCTTGAGTTCCTACCTCACCTTCCCTGGATGATGGAAGATAAAGCTGTAAGGATGAGATAAACCCTTTCCTCCCCAACTTGCTTTCAGCCATGGTATTTTACCACAGCAATAGAAATTAACTAAGGCAACATCCTACTGTAGGATCTTCTGTGTGCCTGGTTGTAGTTAGTCTTACAAAAAATCTATAATGGAGGCAAAGGTAAGTGAATGAGGAGCCATTTATACAGCACTTGGTATATAGTAAATGGTAGCTGTTATAATTATTGTTATAATCAACACTAAACAAAACTATTTAGGTACAACAATTCTGATGACGGGTTATAGAAAAAGCATTTTGAGTACAAGACAGGCCTTTTCTGCCTGCCTCAGGGTGTAAGTTTCAGTTCCTCCTCTTATTGATTATAAGATCTTAATTAATTCTCCTTGCTTTAGTACAATACTTTCTTACCATCAAGTACAATGCCAACTACAGCCTGCTCAATCTCTCTATCAGTGTTATAGCTTCCCCTGTATATTATTTTAATCATTACATCTGCATTGGGTATTCATTGTTTGGAAGTCACTGTACCATACAGTCATACAAAGAGCTCCCTGGGGTCTATACAGTATGAGAGAATACACACACATAACCAACTGGGTGACCTGATTCACAAGTGTGATAACTCCTATAAACTAAACAAACAGGATCTTGTGAGAGAGATTAGTATAACTTAGGAAAAAAATCAATAAATTCATGGTTTGAGGAAGTGATGTTTTTAGCTAAGGTCCAAAGGTAAAACAAAAGCCTTAGTTATTAAAGCAACAGAAGTCGTCCCTCCACCCTTGGCTCTTCTTGTTTCATCTAATATCATCACAACTAAGGAACATGGATGGATAGACACCCAAGCCTGGATGCGGCAGAGCTAATGAGAAATAAAGCAGTCAGCACCTGAGGACCACGACAGGAAATTTACCTCTCAGTCTAATCGACACCGGAGGAGGTTAAGAGGGTTTGTCTAGGAATGATCAGATTTCAATCATTTCTTTTCTATAGTAGAAGAATAATTAAGGAACTTTATGATTTTGGTAATTTACACGAAATAGGCAACTTCCTGTAAAGACAGAAAGCATCACAACTTATTCAACAAGAATTATATAATCTCAATAGGTCTATTATGAACTAAAGGAAGTCAAGCTTAAAGATTGAAGAGCTCACAAACAAACCCAGACCTACATGGCTTCACTGCTAAGTTCTAACAAATATTTAAGGGGAAAAATACTATCGCTTTCTATGTATTCTTCAGGAAAACATGCAGGGAAGAAAAAGTTATCAACCCATTCTATGAGGTCTATGTTACCCTCACATCAAAGTCAGATGCAACTTCTAGAGAAACAAAACTACAGGCCAGTATCACTATGAACATAGATGAAAAGTTGTAAACTAAAAGGTTAGGAAATTAAACCCACTGAAATGTTTAAAATTGTACATTATGACTGAGAAGAGTTGGTCAAAGGATGGCAGGATTTATTTAACACTTAAAACTTAATTTTATCTGTTATATTTATAAACGGAAAGGTTCACATGCTCATCTTAATAGATATAGAAAAAGTGGAACTTACCTTTTGACGGAACTATATTTAGCTATATAGGTATAATTTTAAATATACTCTACATGAAATACTGACTCATAATTCCTAAATTCTGCAAGTGCACAGTCTTTGCACCTAGTGAAGCTGGACTCTTTCCATTAATGTCTATTTCTCTATTCATTTATCCACTTTTTCCCTTTTGAGACGTGGTCTCTCACATCCTAGCACACCCTGGTCTATGCTAAGGAGCCTGGGCTGTCCCTAAACTCAAAAGCAATCCTCTTCCCTCAGCCTGACAAAAGCTGGGACTGCAATCATGTACCACCTTGTCCAGACTATATCTCCAACTAATTTATCTATTTCTGCATGCAGTAAGGTTTTCTCCATCTTAGCTGACATGGTTCTGGGGTACAGTGCTATCCTGTTCACATTTCACTGCTCCCTATGCTGGAGGGCTGGACTGGTCTGACTTCTTCACCCATTAGCAATCATGTCTTGACCGTGAAGGCTCCGTACAACCAATCCCAATCCCAAATGGACAAGACTTAGAGAGCAACTAGATAGTGTGCCACACGGAGGCTGCTGAAAGTGGCATGCCTGAAGAAACCACACACCCTGGGTGCCTTCACCCGTAAGTGTGCACCCTAATTTTCCTGAGGCCCCAAATAAAGGGCACCAGAATCCTACCATCTAGCAAGCAGAACCAGCCTAGGCCTCTCGGGAATCTGAGGAAAATGGGAGGCCACGGAGGAACAGAGCAAGCATAAAGGACACATCTGAAAATCTCAAAGTTCCACAAGAGGAGAGAACACGCATGGGCTGCACTCCCCTCCATCGCAGTGCCTCTACTACCTACCCTGGGAAACAAGGCTTCCCTGTGGGTCCTCTGCCTTTCAAACCTCAGTAGAGGCCTCCCTGGCTACTCTCTAACGCTTCACACAGCTCAATGGCACTGAAATTTTTTTTCAGCATGCTCAGAAGCAGTGAATGAGTACAATGAACAGCACTGGGTGGCGAGGCTCAGTGGGCTGTCTTCCTTCATCAACTATTTCACACTGTTTTAAGACCCCCTCTGCCCACTCCAGCCCATCATCTTTTTCCTCATATAGTCCCTGAAAATCTGCATCCTTAAGCGACAGACCTCTTGTTATGCACATCTTAAGAAACCCGGCTGAACTGAGTCACCTCTGTCCCATAACTCAGGACAGTTATCAAGTCCAAAAAGATGTATTTGTATTAAGATTAAGCAACGAATTCCCACCATGTGACCTGGGGGGCATAATGTAGCCCTGGAGAGCCTTTTCAGAACGACTGCGCCACCCCCAGGTTTTCTGGATCAGAAGGCAGTTCTGGGACAAGGGGACACTGTGTCTCAGCTGCTCTCTCTCATCCTGACACTGACGGTAAGAACTACAAGCTTGGGTCCTCTCCCCAGTCAGAAACAGCCAACAGCCAGAGCACCCCAACTCTGAGGACCTGTCTCCAGGTGCATCTTGGGCCTCTTTACACCGTACTCACAATGTATCTGCTAGTCCATCATGAAGCTCCTACCTGCTATTCTATCTCTTGTCCAGGGAGTCTCCTCCCCCCCCCCACTGGCATCACTCTCAGAAAAGGACTTTGACCCCTAACAGAGACAGCCTTGGGGCAGGGCAGAGACATTTTCACTTTCTTCTTTAATCCTTTCAAACTTCCTTCCTCCCTCCCTTTCCTCTTCCCTCCCTCCCTCCCTCCCTCCCTCCCTCCCTTCCTTCTAGCTGCACGACTAACCCTGCCTCCAGTTCAGGATTACTAGTCTACTTATTTCTATACCCCATTCCCACCAAATCTCAGCTACATACAGTAGCACCCACTATGCCTACAACTTCAAACTCTCACTCACTACCGGTAGAGTATGTCTATTTTTCATTTTAACTCGTGCTACCAGACCGATTTGCAAGAAGAATGTTAAATCCTGGAAGAGTGTATGTTTCTTTCCAGAAAAAGGTTAAACTGAAGAGAAGTGCTTGGTCAGGATTCTTAACACAGGGAAGCATGGAAGTCCCACCCTGCGAAGAGGTTACACAAGCCCAGCGGAGTTTGAAGCCAGTTTAAATTACACACCAAACCAAAGACTTGGTGGTAGTGCCTGACAATCATACAAGGCCTTAGGCAGAAAAGTCTCTGTCTCAAAAGGGGCCCACTCAAACCCACATGCAATGTACAAAATGCCAACAATACTTCATTGTAAAATTCTAAACCAATTCTTAGAACAAAATGAAAAAGTTTCCAAGATGTGAACTGTGGGGGAAACTTGACAAACACAAGAGACAAGATCAGAGTGACACCAGAATTCTCATAGGCAGCCCCAAACCCTGGGGTGGGGAGAATAGTGGTGGTGCACGCCTTTGATCCCAGCACTTGGGAGGCAGAAGCAGGAAGAGCTCTGTGAGTTCCAGGACAGCCAGGGCCACACAGTGAAACCCATCTGGAAAAATCAAATTAATTAATTAATTAATTAAACCAAAAAGGGGGGTATTATTCTAAGGAGGGCCTCACCCTCCCTGGGGAATGTTGTGGGGGGCTGGAGGACTGGTGGAGGGACAAGGGAGAAGGGGTAGGAGAGGGAGCTGGGATTGACATGTGAAGCATTCATGTTTCTAATTTAAATAAAAACATTACAAAAGAAAAAAAAGAAAAAAACAGGGGATTATTAGCTCTGAATTCCAAAGAAAAATTATTTCTAAGCTAGAAGTCTAAGACAATGACTGACTTTTTCTTCCTGTTTGGTGGAAGGATCAGACCCCTAGTGCATACTCAGCACATCATGCCACACCCCCAGCCTGACAAAACTTTCTGATGGGCTGAGTTAAGATCACTTCCTCTGCACTTCTTAGAAAGTAACTTGACATGCTTCATCAAGAGCAAGAGAGTATCAAGAGTACAGCATGGGATCGAGGAAACCTGGCAGAGAGAACAGGAATTCAAAGGAGGGCAGGAAGGAAACAGGAGCATGGTCAGTGCAGACCAGGTGTAAAGGACAGCACATTCTGCGGCCACAGCCCCAAGAGCAAGAAACCACTCCTCCAATGCGGCCTGGGTACTGCTTTTCACTGCTAGAGACATGTGGGGATCGCTCTCCTGCCTGCCAGGCCCTGAATGCTTGACCAATAGCTCAGGCTTATTATTAGCTACCTCTTACATTTAAATTAACCCATATTATTTGTCTATGCTTTGCCACATGCTCCGGAGTTTGGTGCCTCATTTTCTCTGTTTCTTGCTTCATCACAGTCTAGCTGGTGTCAGCTAGACTCCACCCTTCTTCTCCTGTATCTCTGCTTGGATTTCCTACCTCTCTCTATCCTACCTTGCCATAGGCCAAAGCAGCTTTATTTATCAGCCAATGAGAACAACACATATTCACAGCATACAGAAAGCCATCCCACAGCACCATAGCAGAGAACACTAAAGAAGGAGATATACATATTACCTCAATGAAAGCAAGCAAAGATAAAAAGGAAGGAAATGTCATCAAAATATACTACAAGTTGCACAGGATACTATGAGTACTATTTAATGTCAGAAAAAGCACTAAACATTGATCTGATTAAAATCTGAAAAATACAAAAGGATGGGAAGGAGGTAGGGAAAATGTACTCTCTATCTAGGTGGAAGTGAATAGATGACACCTAATAGAACAATAAACAGAAATGTAAATAATTTAGAAATGTGATAGAACATAGACTGATATAAATGGGTGAATTTACATTATACAACTAGTTAGGAACAAGCCTACACTATAGGCCAAGCTTTCATAATCAATAAGAAGACTCCGGGTCATTATTTGGGAGCTGGCTGGAGGGACAGAAAAAGACTCATTACACCCCCCCCCAAATAAATGTAGCACAAGACCAAAAGGAAATGTGAACTAAACACCAAGAGCACACCAATGTTAAAAGTGTTTCTGGGGATTTCTTGGAACAAAAAAAGCTAATTCTAAAGATCAGTTAAATGAGGTTTCTTTTCTCTATTAATAAATAACAAAATAGCATACGATAAAGGCAAGTGAAGAAAAGGCAAAATATACCCTGGATAAGAAACACCTAGCTGTGAAGGTGTTCTACAACAGGAAAACACAGAGGAAAAGCACACGGAGACAGGACTCAGCTGCAGAAGAATCTGCTTTCTGTAACGACAGTGCTGTCAATATAATGGGTAGTCTGGACCACTTAACGACCATCTAAAGAGAGAAGGAGTCTGGACCACTTAACGACCATCTAAAGAGAGAAGGAGAGACAGATGTCATCCAGTCTGAAGGATTATTTCTCAACAGGACAGTGAAAACACATGGCTCACAGAGCTGTTTTTATAATCTTAAAGGAAAAGAGGATTTTGACCACTTTCATGATGGTGAACATTTCTGCACAACCAAATAAATGCAGAAATAATGACAAAGACTCACCAACAGGGAGTCTTGCCATGTGTGCCAGGAAGAACACAATTTCAAAGTTTATTGGTTTCAACCAACCAGATATCTCTGACAGTGACAGAGAAAAGTCACAAATGGCCAGGAAGAAAATCCCAGAATAAAACTCCATATTAAGCAAATATTCATCTTAAAATAAGGTGGAAGAAAGTTGTTAAAAATTTAAACTTTGAGTCAGGTGGTGGTGGTGTACGCCTTTAGTCCCAGCAATGGGAGAGGCAGGTGGATCTCTGTGAGTTCAGGGTCAACCTGGTCTACAGAGCAAGTTACAGGACAACCTCCAAAGCTACACAGAGAAATCCTGTTTCAAAAAACAAAAAACAAAAAAACCCTTAAACTTTGATAAAGATACAAATATAAAAACATTTACAGCCGGGCGTTGGTGGTGCACACCTTTAATCCCAGCACTCAGGAGGCAGAAGCAGGCGGATCTCTGTGAGTTTGAGGCCAGCCTGATCTACGAGCAAGTTCCAGGATAGCATACAAAACAATACAGAGAAACCCTGTCTCGAAAAACCAAAAAACAAAAAAAACAAAGCACATAAAAAACATTTACAAGGAAAATTACAAAACTGTTCTTGTGCTACAAGGCATCTATGTATAATAGTGAATATGAAAGATATGAATATAAAGAGAAGTCACACAGGCTGGGTGTTGGTGGCACACACCTTTAATCCCAACACTAGGGAGACAGAGGCAGGCGGATCTCTGTGAGTTTGAGGCCAGCCTGGTCTACAGAGTGAGTTCCAGGACAGCTCCAAAGCAATACAGAAAATCTTGTCTTGAAAAACCAAAAAAGAAAAAAGAAAAGAAAAGAAAAGAAAAGAAAGAAAGAAAGAAAGAAAGAAAGAAAGAAAGAAAGAAAGAAAGAAAGAAAGAAAGAAACAGCCACACACCCACAGTAGTAACAATGGCTGCTACCAATAGTGATTTAATTTCCCTTTGGTTCTCCACAGTTTGTCAACAGTAATTCTGAAATCGGAGGTTTTGAGTGTCTGTGACTTTTATACTTACCAGGAATAATGAAGATAAGCAGTTTTGGCTTGGTGACACTTTGTTCATCAAAGAGGTTAGTCCAGGGCCCACATTTTATAATCTGGGTTTCAACTCCACCACAGAGAAAGAATTCCTCATGTACAGGGATTTCTTCCTGAACTTTTGAGTCCATCTCTAAATAAAAAGGTAAAGGGTGGTGAGAAACAAAATAAAAAGCAAGCAAAAGGCAGGAGTGGTGGTGCCCAGATGTAGTCTCAGCCCTACCGAGGTATGAGTTCAAGGTTAGCCTCTTCAGCTACATAAGGTTAGAGGCTAAGGTGGAATACAAGAGACCCTGTCTCAACCTCCCCCATCCCATCCCCCACAACAGGCAGTAAAATACAAGACTTTGAACCAAAGACTGCATTGAAGAATAAGAAGGGGATATTTCAAAAACACTCAGAAGAGAATGCCACAGGGCATGTCAATGATACAAGAGTATTCATCTATGTGCACTAAGAGACTGAGAGGGGTGATCACACCAACCACAAGGGGTTTACTGAGAAACGGGGAGTCACATGGTCAGGAAGGAAAATGCTAGAGTGGAGCAGGAGTCAAAGACAGACTAGCATTCCCCCTGTGGCTGCCTCAGTTGGAAGCCACAGTACCCTTGGATGACTTCCCCCTCCCTCAGTCTGGAGTTCCCTAATAGCCCAGTGCCTCACCTGAGACAGGCCCTCAACCCTCACCTGGCAAAGGCTGGGGAAAAAGCTCAGCTCTCCCAGGATGGGAAAAACACTGAGTTCTGAATGCTCATTCTAGTCACTCTCTCCTGTCCAAATTCTGTAAGCACACTGTCTTGCATAATAGAAGCACTATGTCATTGATTTATGAAAGAGGTAGACAGAGAATACCAGGACACCAGGCAGTGAGTAGGTATGATTCTCTGAATAGCTTCATACATACAAACTGGTGGCCCTGAAATTGTTAAGTAACCCCCACCCCGACGCCTTTGCCCTCCCTGTCTGTGGGCACCAGGTCTCAACACTTCAAGCCCCTTCACGCCAGTCTGCCCCTCCCCACCCTCCAGGCTGTCCTGCCCTGTCCCTAGCACCCGCTGCTTCTCCACTATCACCCTGGCCACCATATTATCTTCAATTACTGTGCAATGCCTCCCGCCGCTGTCCATGACCCATTGGCTGCCTCTCCCCTCGGAACTCCAGCCCCACTCTCATCACTGCATTCCAGCTCTGACCCTGGTCTTAGGCATGGTTTTCTTTGTCAGGGGAGGCCATGTTCAGTTCTTGGTGGAGGTGGTTGGAAAGGCAGCTGGGAGCTGCCCCTGCAGGCTCCTCCTAGCTCGCACTCCTTTCCCCTGTGCTGTGAAATCCCCCAGATGCTGCTGCTTTCCAACCGGAGAGGATTTTGTCACCAAAAGATACAGAGCAAAAACTGGAGCTATTTTTCACTGGTAGAATCGAGAATTCCTGGCCCAGAGTGATTAGAGGCCAAGTGTGTTGTTAAACACTGAGTCTCCACATACAGACTGAATGTAATATACTAGTAAATGCCACTATAGCCTCGTCTCCAGAACTATCATAATACAGTACATATATTGTGAAGGCTTTCTGACATTTACAGTGTGTCAGAAACAAAATAGGATGGAGGTCTGCACAAAATGTTAAATTAGGGCACTGGCCGGGTGGTGGTGGCGCACACCTTTAATCCCAGCACTCGGGAGGCAGAGGCAGGCGGATCTCTGTGAGTTCGAGGCCAGGATGGACCAACAGCCTCCAAAACAATACAGAGAAACCCTGTCTGTCTCGTAAAACCAAAAAATAAAAAATAAATAAAAAATAAATAAATTAGGGCACTGACCTCAAAGCTTCTGGCTGGATACACTTAACACTTTCATCAGAGAGAAATTTAGTCATTAAACCCATCTGACTCTTAACTACTTATTTTCAAGTAAATGACACCTTGGGCATTCGGTTAATCTCAAGATTTATGAGAGTTCGAATAGATAATAAACTCAAACACAGTCTATAAAAATTGGAAAACACAGCAGATCCAGATCCCAGCCCAATGGGATTCAGCCTGCCCAGAGACTACCAGCTTCCAAGTCCCAGTCTCCACCCATCGGACAGGTGAGGCAAGGGTCCAGCCTACCCAGAGTTTGCTAAGGTCCCCATACTAGGACGGCCTCCATTCATGAAAGAGGAAAGCCACCAAGGTATTGGACCTGCTCCCACCCATTAGAAAGGAACTGCGGTCACATACCCACCAGGGGAGGAAGAGACACCTTCTGCACCCACAGAAAGAAATGATGGGAAGGAGACAACACAAAAACACACCCACCAACAGAAAAACCCATGTGACACCACCAGAAACTAGGGAATCTACACCCGTAAGACCTGAACAGTCCATTGCAGAAGAAGCAGATGAGAAAGACCTTAAAGACAACTTCATGAAAATGATAGAGGCCCTCAAAGAAGATATAAGGAAATCCCTTAAAGACATGGAAGGAAAAAAAAAACAAAAATTACAAGAAATGGAGGACAAAAATGCAAGAATTGCAAAAAAATGGAAGAAAAAACAATCCAAAAAAGGCAAAAAATGGAAGAAAAGACAAACCAAAAAATTCAACAAATGCAAGAAAGAGAGGAAAAGACAAAGCAAAAATTACAAGAAACGATTCAAAAAGTACAAGGATTGAAAGCTGAAATAGAGACAATTAAAAAAAACAGTCTGAATGAATGCTGGAAATAGAAAAGCTGAGCAAACGGTCAGGTACTACAAATACAAGCATAACCAACAGAATACAAGAGATGGAAGACAGAATCTCAGGTATTGAAGATACACTAGGGGAAATAGACTCATCGACCAAAGAAAATCTTAAGTCCAACAAATCCCTAACACAAAATATCTAGGAAATATGGGACACCATGAAAAGACCAAACCTAAGAACAATAGGTATAGGAGAAGGTGAAGAAATCCACCTCAAAGGGGCAGAAAACATATTCAACAAAATCATAGAAGAAAACTTTCCCAACTTAAAGAAAGGCATGCCAACAAAAGTACAAGAAGCCTACACAACACCAAATAGAGTGGACCACAAAAGGAAATCCCCTTGCCACATAATAGCAAAAACTCTGAACATACAGAATAAAGAAAGAATATTAAGAGCAGCAAAAGGAAAAAGCCAGATAACATACAAAGGCAACCTATCAGAATCACACCTGACTTCTCCATGGAAACTCTGAAAGCCAGAAGGTCCTGGATAGATATTTTACCAACACTAAGAGACCACAGATGCAGGCCCAGACTGCTATACCCAGCAAAACTTTCAATCACTATAGATGGAGAAAACAAGATATTCCATGACAAAACCAGATTTAAACAATACGTATCCACTAACCCAGCCTTTCAGAAAGTTCTGGAAGGAAAACCCCAACCCAAGGGAGTTAACTACAACCACAAAAACATAGGCAATAGATAATCCCACCTTACCAACAGCCAAAAGAAAAGAGGTGGAAATCCACACATAATTCCACCACCATCAACTATTCCAAAACAAACAAGAATGAACAATTAATGGTCATCAATATACCTCAGTATTAGTGGTCTTAACTTGCCCATAAAGAGACACAGGCTAACACAATGGATTTGAATACATAACCCATCCTTCTGTTCCAATCAAATGAGCCCAAGAAACAAGCAGGGGTAGCAATCCTAATATCTAACAAATTAAATGTTGACATAAAATCAATCAAAAGAAAGGAAGAAGGTAATTACATACTCATCACAGGAGAAATCCACCAAGATGAAGTTTCAATTTTGAACATCTATGCCCCAAATACAAAGCCACCCACATTCATAAAAGAAATATTACTAAAACTCAAATCACATATGAAGCCCCACAACGTATAGTGGGAGTCTTCAATCCCCCACTCTCACCTCTAGACAGGACTACCAGACAGAAACTTAACAAAGAAGCAAAGGAACTAATAGAAGTTATGACCCAATTTGGATTAACAGACATCTATAGAACATTCCACCCAAATAAAAAAGAATATACTTTCTTCTCAGCGCCACATGGAACCTTCTCAAAAATCGACACATGCTTACCATAATATCAAATCACAACAGGTACAAAATATTTGGAATAACTCCAAGCACCTTATCAGACCATCATGCATTAAAATTAGGATTCAACAACAACACAAATTGCAGAAACCCTACAAATTCATGAAAGTTGAATAATGCACAATTGCACCATTCCTGGGTCAATGAAGAAATAAAAAAAGAAATTAAAGACTTCCTAGAATTCAATGAGAGTGAGGACACAACATACCCAAACTTATGGGACACTTTGAAAGCAGTGCTACAAGGGAAGTTCATAGCACTAAGTGCCCACATGAAGAAACTGGAAAATAGTTACACTAGAGAATTAACAGCACAACTGAAAGCTCTAGAACACAAAGAAGCAAATTCACCCAGGAGGAGTAGATGCCAGGAAATAATCAAATTCAGGGCTAAAATCAATAAAGCAGAGACTAGGGAAAACAATACAAAAAAAATCAATGTAACGAAGAGTTGCTTCTTTGAGAAAATCAACAAGATAGACAAATCTTTATCCAAACAACAGAGTGTGAACATGCAAATTAACAATAACAAGATAGACAAATCTTTATCCAAACAACAGAGTGTGAACATGCAAATTACAAAATCAGAAACGAAAAGGAGAACATAACAAAGGACACTGAGGAAATCCAGAGAATCATCAGGTCATACTTTGAAAACCTGTACTCCACACAATTTGAAAATCTAAAGGAAATGGACAATTTTCTGGATAGATATCACTTGCCAAAATTAAATCAAGAACAGATAAGTAATTTAAATACACCTATAACCCCTAAGGAAATAGAAGCAGTCATCAAAAGTCTCCCAACAAAAAAAAAAGCCCAGGGCCAGATGGCCTCAGTGCAGAATTCTATCAGAAATTCAAAGAACATCCTATACCAATTCTTCTCAAAGTATTCCATGCAATAGAAGCAGAAGGGTCTTTGCCAAACTCTTTCTACGAGGCTTCAATAACCTTGATATCCAAGCCACACAAAGACACAACTAAGAAAGAGAACTTCAGAACCAATATCCCTCATGAACATTGATGCAAAAATACTCAATAAAATATT